TGATACGCTCGCGGCCCGCCCCGCCCAGCCGTAAGATCACGGCTGGCTCCGCCCAGCGCGGCTTTCAGCGCGGCTCAGCCAAGGCATATGCCTTCGGCTTGACTAAGCTGATCGGCTAAGTTCGGGAGCTGTACGGGCTATTGTGAATAGCCCGTACAGCGGGTCCTGGGGCCGAAGCTAACCAAAGGATCAGCCGAAGCTATGGCTAGAACCTTCGGCTGCTTCGTGAATAGACCCCTATGTAACTATGATAACTGGCATCACACAAGGAAGGGATACAAACTTTAAGCAATGGAAAAACCATCTATGGACTGCGTTCCATTAGGATTCTATTAATCATCAACAAGGACAATAGCGCTTTTAAAATAATGTGGCTAGCCATTTTTACAAATGTCAGATGTTTTTGCATGTATGCAAAACCAAAGGTGATATTGACAGAATGATAATCACATGCCTTGCCTAATTTACGTTTTAGACAAAGGTTTATTGTACCACACTGATCTTTGTCCTTTTCTGTTATTCTTGGCATTGCCATATTTGTCATAGGTAATGGTGATAGAATGTTGACAATTTTTTTATGTTTTGTTAGCCTTACATGTATTTGTTATGAAGATAATCTGTCACCTTCAAAGTGAACCTGTGGGTTTTAACTTAAGACCACATAACAATCTGGCAGTGTGACTGTGATGATGCCTTTACACTAACATAATTTATTAAGAAAATTGCAGGAAACAGCGATTGTGGCACTCATGGATGTGCTGTGGTTAGCCCCTTCCTGTTATTGTCTACCTATTGGTTGCAGAGTGTAAACGGGGGCCTTACTAGCCAGTAGAGAAGTGAGAAGAACTGGTAGAGGCAGACCACAACATACCCCTAGAGCTGTGATCCCTGGCATCACCGATTTTCTGGTCAACACTCAAGTTAAAGAAAATTTTAGTCAGAAACTTGTAGATGCATCCACGGAAATCCCACTGACAATTACTAGGTTAGAAAATTTGCATTTAGCTAGCATAAAAAAGGAACTAAAGATAAGATATACCTCTTTGTCACATATCAAAGTATTTTGTTAGTAAAAATATAATATTTGATATTATTGTCAGTTTTTGATTTATCAACGTTTTTCTCATGTAATAAGATATGTGTGTGCTTCTATATGAAATTAAAGACACAACTTGCATAAATTAATAAAATTTTGAAACATGGATCTAATGCAAGTAAATTCCTCATCTCCCAAATTTGCATAGAGAACTGATACCCACACAATAGATTCTAAGACACATATGAATCTCAAGCTGCCAAGACCAATATCAAAGGTAGATGTTTAACAAGCAAATCATACCTTATCTACTATATACTCTACAAAATAACAAAGGTCATCTTCACAAATGATGTTTTCATTTGAGATTGCTTAGTAGAGGAAGGGTGAGTGAATTTATGGTGTAGGTAAAAGTAGGTTGTAAATTAAACTCACCACGGGGTCTCTGTTACTCTAATTCTCTGCTTAAAAGTTCAAGTCTGAATGAGCTTAGCTTAGTTTTTCTTCATGATCTTCTGTGGATATACGAGATCAGGAAGCAGTTCACACAAATTAAATGTAACAAAATGTTCAGTTAGCGGATCTGAATAATGGGTATATACAACTCTTAAAAAGATGACTCCAAAATATGGAGCGGGAAAAATATATAGAAACAAAAAAAGAGTAGTATTTTTGGATGGCTGGGTCTCTTAATAATCGGTTGGTTGTGTCTATTGTCATAGGAGGTACTCTGGAACTAAGGTGGGTCCAGCAACCTATTAATATGCCTGTGGAGAGTATGTCAGGCTCCACGCAGATCCTTACTCTCCAGTGATGGGGTTTCTAGGCTAGCTTGGTTATTCAACACTGGTGCCCAAGTAGGGTGGTCCTGGTGTTTGTGCAGTAATCAGGGCCGTCTTTAATGCAGGGCAAAAGGGGCAGTTGCCCAGGGCCCACTCATTGTTGTGGGGCCCAAAGCAGCTGCCCCTTGAACAGGTCCTGCACTGCAAAACTCCTACCACTGGCCCTACATCTCAGCAATGACAGCAGAGCGTTGGATGATCGCAGAGCGGGTCACACGGAGAGAAGAGCTGGGTGGATGCCTCCCCTCCCATGCTGTGTGTATGTGTGTGCTGGAGGGGGAGGCTCTCCTATGACCTGGACTCTGATGTTCACTGGCCTTTGCACCTGGATGGGGGCGAGGGAGCCTGCCGGGTGAGGGGACCACAGCCTGAATCAGGGCACCATAAACAGTTGGTGTCTGACGGGGAGACCCTGCATGTCTGTACTGGCTGCTGCATGTGTGTTTTAGGGAACACTAAACGTCCACAGAGAGGGGTCACTATGCTGCTTGTCTGCATGTGATGCGGGTCACTACATGTTTTCCATGTACATATGATGGGGAACACTACACGCTACACATCAGTGCTAGCGTAAGGCTGCATAGACAGTTGTCTGAGGGAGCCGGGGGGTGATAATCAGAAGAGTGAGACGTGACACCCGGACTTAGCTACAACGCCAGGGCAGAGGCAGGTAAGCTGGGCTGGGCTGCTGGGGCATTGTGTGTCCAGTCTTATGATGATGCGGGTTGGGGGTGCCCAAGAAAATGTTTGCCCAATGTCCAATCAATATTAAAGATGGCCCTGGCAGTAATAGGTTATAGGGGGGAAAAAACGTATGTCTAACAAGGTGCCTCCTAGTAAGGTGGTGGCTTGTAACAATATTCTGGATCTTTTTGATCATTTTCTTAAAACCTTCAGTTTGTTTTGCGGCTCTATGGCCACTTCATTAGGAATAGGTGTCTAAACTTTTTGTAACTCTCAGTTGCTCGCCACTGTGGAATGTGTGCAACTGCGAGACATTCACACACACAGGTACGAGAAGTTCACACAAACCATTCCTGATTAAGTGGCTAAAAAGCCATGAAATGCATTGAAAGTCTTAAAAAGGAATTTTCCCCAATAATTAGATGTCTCCCGTAACAATTGATTTTAAGACATTTAACTCAAGTAGTTAAATCTTAAAAATGTATTCAGGTACCTTAACTATTAACAAAAATTAGCTCATGTGTTTATCACTCGGCTGTAGATCCTCAAATCATCTCTGAATTGGTGCTGGCACTGTCTTTTCTTCTAGAGCAGGGGTAGCCAAACTCCGGCCCTCCAGCTGTGGTGGAACTACAAATCCCATGAGGCATTGCAAGATTCTCACAGCCACAGACATGACTCCCGGAGAGAGATGCATCATGGGATTTGTAGTTTCACCACAGCTGGAGGGCCGGAGTTTGGCTACCCCTGTTCTAGAGGGTGGCTACTTTTGTTCCCCATGGTTCCTGTGTGTGTGGTACAGTAGCCACTGCTCCAAGCTTGCTCCCGTGATGGACTACAATCTCATGTTTGGTTTACTAATGTGTATTGAGATTGTAGCCATTCACAGGAGTGAGCTTGGAGTGGTGGCTACGTTATATCACACAAAAGGATCATGGGGAACAAAAGTAGCCACCCTCCAGAATAAAGGACAGTGTCAGCACCAATTCAGGGCCAGGGCCCGATAGCAATTACGACCCTGGTAGTTCTGCCAGTGATGTAGTCAATCACAGGAGCGAGCTTGGAGCAGTTCATGGAGACCATGGAGAACAAAAGTAGCCCCTCTTCAGAAAGAAGGATAGAGCCAGCACCAATTCAGAGATGATTTGAGGATCTACAGCTGAGTGATACAAAAATAAGATACATTTTTGTTAATAGTTAAGGTACTTGGATGCATTTTTAAGATTTAACTCCTGAGTTTAGTTTCACTTTAAGCCCTGAATGTGCAGCACCATGGCGATTGCAATCCAAACAGAGCCTAAGATGGCACATTCCTTGGTTGTAAGGGATAAGAGGTTGTAGTTCTGCTTTAAGAAATTGATCAGTAAAAGTTATTTCTTCTAAAGCTTAATATTTAAGACTATATTTACAAACCACCACCTCACCAGCAGGCATCTCAGTAAACCCTACAACTTAGATAAATACTACATTCACATCTTGGTCCCCCGTTTCTTGCTTAATATCTTCACTTGGTATAATTACAGTTATACCATAAAACAATAGGTAAAACATTCTCTCAGTCTTCCGAGAGTGGAAAGAAGGACACCTTTTAAAACACAATATCTACGCAAAGGATGCACCGTCTAATCATGTGGTCAATGAGAAATTAAGTGCAAGAATTATCACTTAAACCCACGGGGGCTTTTTCTCATGGCTACTTCTCTGTTTTGTTAGAGTTTGAAACTGAACAATGTGATAATCTGTAGAATGGTTAAATAGTTCAGTGTAAAATGAACAATTCAGGCAGTTTGCGCAGCGCTTTACAATATATAGTACATTTATTTATTCATATTTCTACAAAAGAGGCACATTTGAGAAGTAATAAAGGACAGTCTCTCCAATGGCGAGGCATTGGGAAACTATGAATATAATTCAAATTATTGTAGAGTGTACAAGTGTGTAAGACAATGAAGAAGGTCATAAAGTATCTAGGAAATATTCACAGTCATCCTCAACATAAACTCAGATTGAAGCCAAATGACTATTACTTATGTTAGACATGTGTTCAATCTTTCAGTAGACAGACATCATCAGAAGCAAATCTTTCAATTTTCTTTTTATCTAGGCAGGTATTTATTAACTATTGTGTAAGCAAATCTCCCGTTCTGGTCCAAAAAGGGGCACATTGGTTTAATTAAGGTAAGGTAATTACCCGCTGCCCGGCTTCCTGATGTTGACGACTCCGGTATCTGTACTCGGTATGGGCGAGTACAGAAAGCAAAATATCGGTACTTGTACTCGATACCGAAAAACCTGTATCAGTGCATCCCTACTATAAACATATTCCCTGTAAGTGATCATTTAAAATGACTATTAAAATAATTTTGACATTGACCCTGCTTCCAAAAAAATTGCTTATGTTAACTTCTTGTTTTACAGAATTCCAGTTCATCATATCAACTAGAATTCCACCATGGTTAAAAGAGTCGCGGTATTTGGTGCAGGATGCAGTGGACTGACTGCTATCAAATGCTGTCTCGATGAAGGTTTGGAGCCTATGTGCTTTGATAAGAGTGGAGATATTGGTGTATATTATTATATATTATATATATATATATATATATATGCATACATACACACTTTTACTTATTATATCTATGTAAGTAAACCTTCTAGAACTATAAAATAGATGACTAATACTACTTGTTTAGTACAATTGAATCAAACAGGCTTTCTTAACAACGTATAAGGGATTGTTTATATACCAGCACTTCAGTGTGGTTTACTGCACCTGAAGTCTGCCTGTAAACCGGTATTACTGCTTTTTACCATTATAGTCTAGACCCCTGTTTATGCATCTTTTTTACATGCAGTAACTGCTAAATACTGCAGTTTGTGTGTGCGGTTATAAGCATCCTTTTTGGACTTGGACACTAGGGATGAGCAAATCTGTCCAGTTTCAATTAACACAGATATTTGGTGAATCATGTTAGAAATTCAGAGAACCTGAAGTCTATGGGGTGAAGCAAATTCAGCAGCTTCATTTCACTGACCCTATGATGGCTTTAAACCCTTTTATAGTGGGGGAAGACTGGCTTTTGCAAAATCCCACCATGATTGTCTTTTCTGATGGTTATGGTTCAATGGCCAAGCAGCATATTATGACCGGACAGAAAGTAATAGAAATCCTTTGAGAGGTAAAAAAGCTCCTGTATATATGTATTTTAACTGTGAGTTGTGCTGTTTGCCTAGAGTTCAGCTTTAAGTCTGATGGCATTCCAGCATTAAAAAGATAAAGTTAACTAATAGTTTTACTTTTTATCAAAACTTTTTCACTCTGGGCACCCCTGAACTCAACCCCCCATGCACTTTCAAAAGTTACATGACCACTCTTTATTGGCCACCGAGTTGGGCTGAACAAATGCCCGTTCTAATGGGCTTATGTAACACATTTTTGTTTTGATGAAAGGTTCTATTTAACTAACTGCTTTTGATATAATCAGTTAAGAGAATTCACTGCCAGAGGGGAAAAACAGAACCTTCAACTGATGCCAAACTTGGAAGCACAAAGCCCAAACTGATGTTGCGGCCAAATTCCAGGCATTCTAAATGCACACCCTGTTGATAGAACATACTATTCCTGTCATGTATAATAAATCTATCAAGAGAGGATGTTTGAAGCTTGTTTTCTAAAACCAGTTAAGATATTTAAAATTAGAACCAAAGACTTAATTTTTTACAGCACCTATATTCTGAAAAAAATAAAAAGAGCATCACAAAAGTATACAATACATGACAGAAAGCCTTACTATAACCACTGTTTTTTCAATGATCTGACTTCAGTAGCCTAGCTGGTCTATAATCTGAATTTCTGCTGTATGATGTTAATTGCAGGAAGTTCCTGAAGATGACAGAGCCAGTATTTACAATTCTGTTATCATTAACACATCTAAGGAAATGATGTGTTACAGCGATTACCCAATACCAGACGACTACCCCAATTACATGCACAATTCAAAGGTGCTGCAGTATTTCCGGCAATATGCTGAACATTTTCAACTGCTAAAATACATCCGTTTCAAGGTAATTATTATAAATATATATGTGGATAATATGTTGTAAACCCAGTTAAAATTGGGTATCTTTTAGAATGATACATTCTGGTTTATGCGGTGATGTCTATGACATGTATTTATCCTGGAAGCCCTATAATACAAATATGTTGATGCCTACATGGGGGTTCTCAAAAGATTTAAAGGAGTGGGACAGTTTTATTTTTTTTTATTTTTTTAAAGGTGAACCTTTTCTATAAGGTAGATATTTTTGTAGTAAAGACACCTTAAAGCCTTCATGGGATTTTTAAATAACAGGATTCCTCTTTATTTTTATGGAGAAGGATTTGTATTTAGAATATACACTGCCTTATTCATGTTCATTGTTCATGGTAATTCACAAATCCAGTAAATCAAGGCAACTAACGAGAATCCATCATGCATTTTTCTAATTTAAAGTCTATCTAAATCCAAGAACAAAATGTATTGAAATATATTGAAGCTTTACAGTACTTGGGTGTGGTGGCTGCATTATTTATTTATTTTCTTTAACTGGGTGATCCTGCCAGTAACATACTTCCTGTCCTAGGGTGATAACGCACACTCACTGTACCATATTTATATAGGGGTAGCAATGTCACCCTAGTAAAGGAAATTATTTAAAACTAAAGAACACAACCCCTATCATCATCATCATCATCATCATCATCTCCTTAACATGAGGAGAAGTGTTCTGTAGGAGTTGGGAACAATGCTAACTGATAAAAGTACTAACTTGGCTTAATTTATGCTTGCCTCAATGGGAAAGAAACATAATCACTGGCCAGCTGATGGCTAGCATGTCCTGTTTGCCTCTTTTGTCATTGACAGCAGTAGGTGTATTCAACTGAGTTATGTCTTGTTCTTCCTTACATGAAGACAGCTGTTTGCAGCATTCAAAAGCATCCAGATTTTCTCACCACTGGCCAATGGGATGTTGTCACAGAGTCGGAAGGAAAACAGGAGAAGCATGTCTTTGATGCCATTCTTGTGTGCACAGGTCACCACACACATCCAAAATTACCTCTTGATTCTTTTCCAGGTATGTCACTTTATTAAGGTATAACCAGACACATGAAGATTTCACCATTTGCCATTCCTTTTCTATTAAGTGACTTTTACCCCTAATTTCATAAAGCTACACTCACTGGTCACTTTATTAGGTACACTTTACTAGTACCAGGTTCGACCCACAATTGTCTTCAGAACTGCCTCAATTCTTTGTGACATAGATTCAACAAGGTGCTGGAAACATTCCTCAGAGAGTTTGGTCCATATTGACATGATAGCATCACACAGTTGCTGCAAATTTGTCAGCTGCACAATCATGATGCAAATCTCCCATTCCAACACATCCCAAAGGTGTGCTATTGGATTGAGATCTGGTGATGGTGGAGTCCATTTGGAATTAACTCATTATCATTCTCAAGAAACCAGTTTTATATGATTTTGTGACATGGTGTGTTATCCTGCTGGAATCAGTTCCACTCCTGTCAACAGGAAACTGAGGCTACAGTCCTCATGGGCTGACTAAAATTGGACAATAGAAGATTGGAAAAACCATCCAAAGTTATAATCTTCCCGTGCAGCAGGGATGAGAGATGTATTTGCAACTGTAAAGAAATCACTGATTCACCTTCCCCTCACCCACAAAACTGCTTGTTTTATTTTCCCAGGACGCAAGATGCACATTCTGTGAATAGGTGAGAGTAATTAATTTCCCCCCTTGCCCCTTTCACAGAATACCATGACATAAATAAATAACAATTCCTTATCAATCCTCCCTCTTGTTCATTAAATGAATACCAAGTATGGAAATAACTCATCTTTTCTTTCCCAGACCTCTCTCCTGCATACCTCCATTTAGTAAGGTCAGATTAACAGTAGAGAAGCTACATACCTTGGTCCCCATACATACCAGCACACTCATTCTTACCCTACTCAAGCAGGTTTTGGGTTCCTTCTGTAAGACAAAGTTAACCAAAGCAGAGAAAATTGCTGATTACAAAAAGAGTCTTAGCTAGTATCAAAACTTATCCAAAGGCATACCTGGACAGCAACCTCTCACAAGGAAGTATCCATTTTAACCCTTGAAGGAGTTTCATATCTATACACGCTCCAGGTTATATGGAAGTCTGAAAAAGGTTTATAACCAGGTACATATAGATGGTGTATAACACTTTATTTTTAACCCTTTATACCTTATAGAGTATGTCACTAGTGATAAGCTGGGGCTTGGTGCAGTTCGCCTGAGTTCAACCATGCCCATTTAAGACTATGACCGCCAGTCCCTCCTCCCAACCCGATCAATTGTGGGGAGTCGCACTCACTGCCCTGCAGCTGTTCATCACAAAGGAGTTAGTAATGCTCCCACCACAGCTGTCACCACAGATTGGGTTGGATGTTGGTGGCAGTCAGAGTTTTGAGTTGGCTTGAGTGAACTCTTCTAGTCACCTTATCTTAATTGAGAACAGAAACATAATGTAAGTTTACAGTTAAATAACAGAAAGGATATACTGCATTAAAGAGAACACTCATCAATGGAACACCCCATTTGTAATAGGAATACAACTACACGCCTGACAGTGAGCTTTATTAAACCTCCAAGCAGTAATGGCCAAAAACCAATTCAGCAGTTCATTTCAACTCAAGCTCATTTTATGTATTATGAGGATCAAATGGTGTTCACACCTATGTCACTATTTACAGGTGTTACATGTATAATACTATCTATACTTGTTAGAAGTCAGTTGCTGTTATGATATACTTGTTTATTTTATGGATGCCTGTACTTGAACTCTACTAACTCTACTGAACTCTACTGGTTGCCTGTACTTGAACCTCCTGAACTAAGAACTTTAAAACTGCTGCCCAGACTACAGAATACAACAAATTGGTGACGAGGATGTTTCTTCTATCTCTACAGCAGCCTGCACCTTAATTAATTATTCACTGCCTGGGAGCAAAAGGACAGCATATTTTCTGTACTCTACCAGTGCAGATGATAACTATAATACAGCTCTCCCTGCCTTAGATAACTTTTTTTGTGCCAAAAGAAAACATGGTTGCAGAATTATATAAATTCTGGCAACGTGGGCAGCATAATGGTGATTCCACAGTACAATTAACAACAGCTTTGTTAGAGTTGGTTGTTACCTGTGAGTTTGGTGCCCTAAAAGATGAAATGATAAGACAACAACAAATAGAAAAAAAACAAACTCAGCCATCATTAGAGAAAGATTGCCTTTGGTACATGGTCTAACTTGAGCAAAGGCCATTACAATTTCAAGCCATAGTAAAACTGCTGTGGCTGAGGTAAAAACCCTCAACAGGTTTCTAAAGTTACTGCCCCAGTGTTTACCGTCTTAGGTATAGATAAATTTGATGCTCCGATTCAATCGAAACTTTAGTTCACTGTAGCTATTACTATTGCTTCTGCTAAAAACGGCTACTTTATTGTCCTGGCGCTTGATACACTACTGCTGTGTCTGTGCTGCTTGAGGAAATATACCAGAAATACTTTGCAAAGGAAGAATTTACTACACTTACTCTAATGTGATTGAAAGAAATCATAGCCCCTAGCCACACATTTAGAAAGTATTTTCAGAACTCATGGGAGCGATATCCTTTTTTATCCTGGATCTTCATAATGTATACCACCAGACTTTGCTTGATAAGGAAAGTAGGAACGTCACTGCATTGACTACCCATGAGGACCTATTCAATTTCAAACGTGTACCTTTTGAATTAACTTCAGCACCCAGTTGTTTTAAAAAACGAATGTTTTCAATCCTCAGTAATGTACCTGGTGTGCAGTGCTGTTTGAATGACATAATTGTATCCAGCGCAACTCTAGATCGTCACAACAAGCACCTTTACAACCGCTCTAAATTGCATAGAATCTGCAGGACTGCAACTCAATCTTTTGAAATGCTGCTTTAGAGAAACTCAACTGTTATTATTAGGTCAGATTATATCTCAAAATGCACTGTTTTCCTGCATGTGTGAAAGCATGTGGAGGAACTCCTGCTCCATCTGACTTTCAGACATTACATTGTAGTATTGCAAATTTATTCCCAATTATTCCACAGTAGCAGAGCCATTGAAAGCATTACTACATGGAAAAGCAAGCATGATCTGGTCAGAGACCACCCAGCACAGTTTTAAAACAATTAAACAGCTCATCATGAGCAGTCCAGCAGTAGCATTATTTGATCCTTCTCTAATTACTATTGTTACTACAGTACTGCTTCAGGTTAGGGTGCAGTCCTGACACAGTGATATGAAAACAGGTGGAGAAGATGTTGCTTTTGTATCTAAAACCCTTACAGAAGCAGAAATAATTATACTGTAAAAAGAAGCCCAAGAATGTGTTTGGGCAACAGAAAAATGAAGAACATACCTGTGGGGTTGATAGGTTACCTTGTGAACCTACCATAGTCCTTTAACTACACTGCTTACCACAAACGGATTAGAGTGAGCAGGAGTGTCTATAGCCAGATGGTCAAAAAGCCTACTAAATTTTAACTACACAGTACAATACAAAATAGGTTTGAAAAATGCTACTGCTAATTGTTTGGTTACTTTTACCAGCAGCTCCTAATACACAGAATAAGGATGTTGCAGTTGTTGCATTTGCTGATATAGATGCAGTTATGGCATCTGAGTTCAAACAAACTTGTCTGGCATGTCTTATTACAAGTGCAATTATGGGACATTCTACAAAGCAATTTACCAGACTCAGAAAATAAATCCTGTTCTGTTACCTTACTACAGGATTAGACATGAACTAACCTTAGTTGATGCCTATATTGTCCATGGATTTCATCGCTTACCAGAAACCTTGAGAGAGTGCCTTATACAACTTGCACATGAGAGTCATCAAAGAATTGTAAAAACAAAGCAAAGTCTACATGAACTATATTGGTGGCCAGGAATGGATAAACTTTCCTGATAGAAGTACTAACTGTCATACACTCTTGTGTTACTTGCTAGACTCATGAAAAGTCTGCAGTCACAGATTCCACCACTCCAGATAGTGACATTTCCTTATTCTGCTTGAAAAGAGCTTGCTATTTATATAATAGTTCATTCACAGAGGCACCTGTGCATCTGTGACTTGCTATTATATTAATGGATTATTACAATAAATGGCTAGAAATTGTGCAATTGTTTTCTATGTGCCCTATTCACACCATACATGTGCGGTGGTAGGCAGAAAAATGCAGCGCAACCGAAATGGTGTAAAGTTCTGAAAGTTTTCACTACACAGTTCTACATGTCTACAGAGAGACTAGATCTTCAAAAACTCAAGCAACATCCGCTGAACTACTACATGGCAAACAAATGTATACTAAACTACATGTTGTAGACATACAACTCCCACCAAGTCGAATGCCTCTGTAATCATGAGTTACTAAGGTTGTTAAAAGTGAGCAAGATAAAAGTAAGACATACAGTATATTGTTTGGAAACATGGTGTGAGAGAAGGACACTTTCAGGCTTGATCTCTAGTTAGAGTTAAGAAACCTGGCATATTGAATCAGAGACAATCCAAATTTTCCAATATGTCTGGAGTAACAAGTCAACATTACACCTATGATCTGTCTGATGGATGCATATGGAATGGCAGTCATCTTAATTTGTATTGATAACAGTGATAATTAATAATCTAATGATAGGATTATTAGATCATTAGCCCGTACAGCACCCCTTCGGTTCTACTGAACCGAAGGGGTCCTGGGGCCGAAGCTAGCCGAAGGATCGGCCGAAGCTACGGCCAGATCCTTCGGCAGCTTCGTGAATAGACCCCTTAGAGTCCTACATCCCTAGTCTCTATTCCTACATCCCTATTATTTGTTTGCCATACCTCCCAAGGGATATGGATACCCCCGGTTACGACATTTTGCTCTAGGAGATGAAATCTAAATAAGAACCTGTTATTGTTATTATACGATTCAAAGATTGTTCACAGCGCAGCTATCTTTCTGTAGAGGTGTTTTAGTTTGACATTGAACATTGAATCCTTCACAATAAAAGGTTCATTATAATGTGTACGTTCTTTTATCCTAAAACAAATTTGGTGAAGGAAAGACCAACAGTTTCTACCTTGAGTTTTATTGAGCTTGTCATAAACATTGTTTATATGTTATATTAGAATTTGGATTTTGTTGGCATAGATTTACATTAAGCTCAAAATTCTAAGGGCTCATGTGCATGCATACAACCTCCTATAAAAGTCAATGGCATATGGTTGCACACCCGGAATGCAGATTGTCTGCCCTTGGGGTTGTACGCTATACATATGTGCACGTTTAGGCAAGTCCGTCATATACCCTGCATACAGAAAATACACTGCAATTTTTGTTGCACACCCACAGGCAGCTGTGTGCATAAGCCCTAATATTGTAATAAAAATATTTACATTTAAATTCTACTTTTACAAATCTGCACTTGAAATGTTTACTGCTGTACTTAACATTTACTATGTCTATTGTAAAACCCAGTCTATAATGTAATACACTTATAAAGCACCTAATGTTCCAATTCACAGCATTACCGTGATAAAACAAGGGTATAGATTAATTTAAACAAGTTTCAGTTAAACAATATTTCTGTGATGTTGTTTACAGGCATTGAAAACTTTAAAGGTCAGTACTTTCATAGCCGTGACTACAAAAATCCGGACACTTTCAAAAACAAAAAGATAATAGTGATTGGTATTGGAAACACTGCAGTTGATCTGGTGGTGGAACTCAGCGCTGTAGCTAAGCAGGTAAGTAATTACCTTCTTCTCAGAGTAGGGGGAAATCCTGCCTGTGATTGTTCTAGAAACTAACTAAATTTAACATATGTGGATAGAGGAGGTCCCAAAAATTAGGAAATAACTAGGTCAACAGAGGCGCCCATTCGTTGAGAAGGTCCAAGACTAGATTTGTGGTTCTGAAAAGTATTTTATTTATATTAATATATATAGGTAAAACACTTTAAACGCATTTCACATATAACAGTGGCAACTTCTTCAGGATGGTGTGTACAAAAACAACAGCTCTGGGTATAAAGTAACATATATACTAGGTATGCATTGATACCGAAATTAGTATCGATGCCAATACTGAGTATTTAGGCGAGTACTCGTACTCACCCAAATGCTCTGATACTTAGCCCAATACCGGATTTCCTCTGACCGGCAGTGCCGCGAGGGAACATGGAGCCTGCTTCCCGGCCAATCAGCATTGAGCCGGCCAAGCCGGTCACAGTGCTAAAAAACAGTTACCTGCAATATGTGTACAAAAATACAGTTCAGAAAGAGTGTTATAACTTTCTCACCATGATTCAAGTTAACATATGATACTCCAATCTGACAAAGTCACTGTACAGATCCAATTTGTAACCTTGGAACAACCAGAATCATAGCTCCGCATGCTCAAAAACATACCTTCTGTACTTTTCAGTTAAAGCATTTTACACTCTTACCAGCCCAGTGTTGAAATTTTTTTCCCCTCCTTATACATATAACCATTTCATTCTCTTTAGCATAGCAAATCCTCACTTTTTGAGTTCTGGCTCATTGTAAGGTGGATGTTTGACAGTCTGTTTGTAAGAAATTATGGTAGCTTAGTCAAGTGAATCTTTAGCTCTCTGTAAGCCCCCTTGTTGCTTACTTGTAAGCTTCTTAATGCTATATTACAAGAATTTACAGTATTCCTCAAGTGTCTCCTGAATACATAGTATGGGGGGAATTTATCAAAACTGCAGCAGACAGAAACTGGAGCAGTTGCCAATGGCAACCAATCAGCTTCTCTCTTCAGTTTGTTCAGTTAAGATTTGAAAATTAAAGAGAGAAGTTGATTGGTTGCTGTGCGCAGCTGCTCCAGATTGTTGTCTGCTCCAGTTTTGATAAACCCCCCCCATGTGTTCTCCTAATTTAAATACTGTAGTGATGTTTCATTCATAGTTGATTTCATGATGATATTTCCTGGTACATATTTCTTCCCCTATCCTGTCTGGGACCAAGTTGGCGCACTTTTAATATTATTTAATTGATTATATTTAAATATTATCAAGATTTCAGCATCATCTCTTTTTTTTTAAGGTATTCCTGAGCACTAGGAAAGGGGCCTGGTTGGTGAATCGTGTTTGTGATAATGGCTTTCCATTGGACATAGTTTTTTTCAGTCGCTTCAATGCTATTTTGCAATGCACTTTTCCATCGATGATTAACTCCTACATGGAGAATAAATTCAACTCCAGAGTTGACCATGACAACTTTGGTCTAAAACCTGAACACAGGTAATGAGGTTTTCTATTCTTTCTTAAAACGTATTATTAATAAGGTCTCAGAAGAATTCAGAAAAGGGAAACTGGAAAGGAATGAGTTAAAAGATCATGTACATCTATACATACATCTACTGCAGACATACTGTGCTGACCAATTTAACAACCTGCCTACACTGACAGTTAAGAAAGCCTTGTTTATATCTCTCTTGCTATTTCTATGCTATTTTCATAGAATCTTTGCATTATAATCTCTTTTGCTTATACACCTTTGGGCATGGTTTTTATACTATATGTATATATTGTTGAAAGCTAAGTTTATCTTTCTGACCGTGTTTCACCTTTCAGTCTGCTGTTCTTTTTTGAAAATGGCACAGCTGTGTGTGGCTCCGTCCACACATCCGCTTCATCCATTCACACATCCTTTCACATAATCTGGACAATCAGCCACTGGAGCTGAGGGACTAATAGTTATCAATGGAACACAAGTGCGGTGACGTTACTACACTTATAGTCCATTAATTCTTCCTCCCATCCATGTTACTGAATGTCTATACCATGGACAAGAACGGGAGGGAGAATCTGAAGGAGCCAGATAATTGCACCCATGATCTCCTGATTGCAGTTGCAATGCTTTGCTGGCTCCAATGCAAAACATAAAAAGGGCATATTCTTTTATAATGTTATGTGCATGTATTATTTTTTTTAGGTGGAATTAACCTTTAAATATGGTATTCTATATCCTGTTACTTATGGGGAGGTATAATACAATATAGCCATACAATCAATGATGTGGAAATGTGCATTATAATCATGCATAGTGTTTTTTGATACTTTCTAAAAAAGCTTTTGAAATACATGTAATGTGTGAGTGTGCTAATTATTGTCATGGTTATTGAATATCTCAAATTAAAGTAAACCAGCAATGAGTGAAATGTAAAGGATGACAATGTGGACCTCTCTCTACAATTACTAGCTGCATGGCTGTCATGCTTATGCAGTGGCCCCAGTCATTCCTGACACAGATCAAGCATGCAGTAGACATGTGCGATTCGTTTCGTTCCGAATCGAAATTCGGACGAATTTTCGTAAATTCGGACATTCGGATGTATCCGAATTCCGAATTACAGACATAACGAATGCAAACGAATCCGAATTTCCATTTCCGAAATTTCGGTAGCGTTCGCACGAACGTTCGTTTCGTTTTCTGTTCTTATTCGTTTCTTATTCGTTTCGTTCGTTGGAGCAAAGTGACATTAGAGAAGGAGAAAAAAAATTTTTCCCCCTCAAATGTCACTTTTGCTGCAAACGAATAAGAAACGAATAAGAAACGAATAAGAAACGAATAAGAACAGAAAACGAAACGAACGTTCGTACTAACGCTACCGAATTTCGTCCGAATCCGAATTCCGAATCCGAATTCACTTTCACACCCGAATCCTGAAAAACAAAATAACACAAATCCGAATTTAAAACGAAACGAAACTAAACGAATTTTTTGGCAGTGCACATGTCTAGCATGCAGTGTTTAAAGTCAGAAATCATGACTAGGGATGAGCTTCAGGTTTGGGTCGCCCATGAATTCGACCGGAATCCAGCCTGTTCGCAGTTTAGTGAAAGCCTGCCCCTGGCTGATGTCTGTAAACCAGCATCGAATTCTGTCCCCTCTGAATGGTATTTGTTTATTTTTTTTTATTGCAGTGGCACATGTCCCCCATTGTATTGCCCAACTACCCAAGCCGTTTTTAACAAGGGTAAAGAAAATTAGCCTTAAAACCCCCCAGAAAAAAGTAAGTAGATTTTACAGCAATAGATCTCAATGGGCTTTGATGCTGCATTTGAGGTTGTGAACATCTCCCCGGGCTCGTTGAACTTTGCCAGTTCGCTCATCCATATTCATGGCTGATATGACCTATACATTTATTCTGGTGAATGGAGTGAGCACTATTATATAGTAGAGTTTAGAACTGGGTATCTTCGGTCACGTTCCTATTAAACAACATCAGATATGTTTAATGCAAAAAATTTCATTTGTTAATAAAGTTCATCTGTTATATTTACAGGTTTTTCAGTCAGCATCCAACAATCAGTGATGATTTACCAAATCGCATTATTGCCGGTAAAGTGGTGATGAAAACTAATGTGAAACGTTTCACCGAGACAGATGTCTTTTTTGAAGATGGAACCGTAGAAAAAGACATTGATGTGGTCATTTTTGCCACAGGATATAATTTTTCATTCCCTTTCATTGACGAATCTGTGATAAAGGTTGAGCATAATGAGATTCCTCTGTATAAAATGGTGTTTCCTCTGCATCTGGAAAAGCCAACAATGGCTTTCATTGGCTACATCCAACCAGTTGGTGCTATAATGCCAGTCTCTGAGATTCAGGCTCGCTGGGTAACAAGAGTCTTCAAAGGTAAATCATAATATATTTCTTCATCACTGATTCATAATGGTAATATAATTAAAGCTGAACTCCAAGCAGATAAAAAAAGACACACATTGGTGCATCTCTGTATTGATGAATTCATCATTGCATGTATTAATTAGGGCTGCGGAAATTAACGATTAATTGTAAATTTTTTTGATTGATTCCTCCCGCCCCAGAATGCAGTGAGGCGGCCGAGATGCAATCCAGTGCGTTCCAGCACGAATCAGGCCGGAACGCACTGGAACTGGTGTGAACTAGCCCTGAAAGTCATAACATACATAGAGGGGAATTTATCAAAACTGGAGCAGACAGAATCTGGAGCAGTTACCTATGGCAATCAATCAGCATCCACCTTTTATTTCTAGACCTTAACTGAACAAACTGAAGAGAGAAGCTGATTGCTTGTCATAGGCAACTGCTCCAGATACTTTTGCTTCAGTTTTGATAAATTCCCCTCATACTGTTTGAGTGTGTGTGTAGGCCAATGTAGTTGGATCTGTATGTGCGTTATAATTAATCGAAATTAATCGATAAAAAAATTTGATTAATCGAACACGAACATTTTAATCATTACCAGCCCTAGTATTAATGTAACATAACAATGTAAGTACCTGAATTTGATTTAGTATCAGCCGCATGTAGTCCCTGTACAGCAGTATTCAAACTAGGAAAGGGGGGTCCAGCATAAGGAGCTAGTCATTTGAGCTGCAGTGCAAGGAGAATGCTGATAGGAGGAGAACACAGAGTGATATAGAGATGAGCTCCTCAGCATGCTGCTTCTCCTTTCATTGTCCATTAAAGCCTTGTTCACACCAAGCGTGTTCCAGGAGCAGAGTAGGGCAGTTACAGACCGGATCAAAACTGCATCCAATGTATTCCAATAGTATTTTGGGCTCTAGTTCACACCGCAGCGTTCAGGTCCAGAGCATGTAAAAAAAACTGCAGCAAGCCATATTTTACCTGCTCTGGAACGCATGCAAACGCATCAAAAACACATGCAAATGCCCTGGAACGCACTGAAAGCCCATTTTAACCAAAAACGGCCCGGAACTCATCAAAAAAGCGGCAATAAGCGCTGCAAAAATGTGGCACAACCCACTGAACTGCGTGTGCAGAAACTCATGCAGATCTGGTCTGCATTTGGTGTGAACAAGCCCTTACAGGCTGGGGTGGGAAGGAGACTGAACTGCAGAAGAACAGAATAAGGTCTCCTGTCCTGCCAGACAAAGCTGTGATATGTGGTATAGCTGTGTAAATCTCAGAACTGGATATTATTATTATTATTATTATATATAGATAGACAGAAATACAAATGATTTGGCAGGTGAAACAGCTGCCTTACATGGTTTTAATCTGTGTCTTTAGCTTTTTCACTGGAGTTTGGTTTCAAACCTATTTGGAGATGTAACATATTCTATAGCACATATGTTGTAAATGGTGCACATAATTCAGTTGAATAGCAATTGAAAAGGTAATTTGTAAACATGTAAAAGTGTATCTAAAGGCAGCACTTTTGTTTTTGTTTTAGATAGGGTAGTGAAAGGTTAGAACCCTGGTCAAGTTTATATTCCTGTGTCTCTTGCAGAGAATCACTGAAAATGATGGGAAATCCAAAATTTTGAGTTGTCACCAAAACCTTCCAATGGACACACTTGTTCTGATAATAAGAGGGGATTTCCATCAATTTGGAGAAATTATTTCATCTTACTTCTTGTTGTGTCAGGAAGTGAAACAAAATCAACCCATTGGAACACAGATATAAACCCCCCCCCCAAAAAAAATACAGGTGTTTTAACCATTTCCTACCTTAGCCAAAGTAAAAAAAATGGCTTAGACAATTATTGTGCATTGGACGGTTTGTCGCATTTATCGAAAATAATTTTGCCATATATAGTACATGTAATGAGAGCATTTGGCTGCATGTCGTCTGAATCATTCTCCCTGAAATCAATATGCAAAATTGCTGGTTGAAGCAATGCCCCTGCCTATAGGTTGCCTAAAGAAATTAAAAGTGTTTAAACTATCCATTAGATCCCATTTCAATGTACAGCTAAATGTATTTTTCAAAAATCTTTAATTCTCACATTATGGCTGACATTTTTTTTTCTCAGTCATTAATTCAGGAACTCTCTAAGCTCCCCCAAGAGCTCCCGATATGTACAGGGGAAGCTGCACTTCGAGCTTCTGCTGCATCAGAACAGGGTCTTTGAATGACATCTGTTCTGATGTTGTGCTCCCCTCACTCTATGTTGCCATTCACAAATATTCTCAATATTTCCTCATTTGGTCAATAAACATACTGCACTAGGAGGTGGTGCCTGCTTTGTGTTTTCTTGCATGTTGTCAAGATTCCAGTCATTATGATTGTGCTGTGCTTTGTGAATGGCACAACAGAATAAGGGGAGTGGAGTCATAACCCTGGAACTGGTTTGGTTTATAGACCCCATTCCAATGTAGTGTGACTCCAAATGCACATAATGTGAATTTTCTATGGAGCTTAGCGAGCTGCTGAAGTAACAAAAAGTGACAGTGTAAATGTAAAATTAAAGATAAAAAAATAAAACGATCTGTGCCAGGAGTTGGCCTTTAAATGTTATGTTTAACTATGTCTGCATTTGTTTTAGGTCTAACCAAGCTTCCATCCATGGAGAAAATGAAGGAAGAGGTCAATAAGAGAAAGGAAGACATGCAGAAAAGGTTAGACAATAATATGATAACTAAGAATCTGGATCTTCACTATTAAAGGCTAAGGGGTCTATTCACGAAGCTGCCGAAGGATCTAGCCGTAGCTTCGGCCGATCCTTCGGCTAGCTTCGGCCCCAGGACACCTTCGGTTCAGCAGAACCGAAGGGGTGCTGTACGGGCTATTTAGTATCAGCAGAGGGCCGGTACAATGCTAGTTTACTATTGGCTATTGCAAATTGAAATAGCCAATAGGAATCTAGCAATGCATTCCAATGGGCAAAAAATATATATATTTTTTTCTATTCTGACACGGCACACACAGACACCATGTAGCCATTCCCGAGACAAGGCTGTCTGCTGCAAAACAGAAGTTCTGCCCAGCATGAGGCAGATGAACAGATACAGATTTAAAAGGAAGAGCAGCAAAGAGAAAGCAAACAACCATGGATTACAGTAAGGCACACATTACAGTATTGTTTTATGTTAAAGAAACTGAGGGTTTAATGTCACTTTAATCTCTTTTTCTGTATCCCCTGTTATCAATGAACAGGAGTCCTCTATAGTGAGTGTTCCTGTTCATTCATAACATGAGAACATAGTATGTTTACTATAACCACAACTATGAATGAACAGGAGGTGCTGTAGATCACCTCCTATTCATTCACAATTGAGGATATAGTAATCATAATCTGTCTTCAATTATATACAAACACTCAGCAATCACTGACTGCTTGTACCCGTTCTCCTCTGTCACAGGAGGCTGAGCGAGCGGTGTATGGAGGAGAGCTCAGCCTCCTGTGACAGCGTGGCCTGTCCCCGCCCACACACCGCTCTGCCGTTCTGTGACAGGAGGCTTAGCGGTGTGACAGGAGAGACGCCGGACGCTCGCAGCGCTCGGCCAGCTGTCACACTTTCTCTCCAGCCCTACACCGACACCGAGCAGCGCCCAGCGCTGTATCGGCAGAAAAATTGCATTTTCAGCATATAGCCAAAAGTGCCATTTTCGGCCGATATGTTTCGATTGCCGATATATCGGTGCATCCCTAACCGATACCATTTTTTTTGTGTAGAGTACGAGTACCGGTATTTTTTTTTTTTGGTACTCGCCGATACCAAGTACCGATACTGGTGCCTTGTGCCCCAATTATCAGGAAGGCGTTCGGCGGATCATGACCCTGAGCCTGGCTTCCGGATTTCCTGTGAAGCCGGTGTTCAAGTGAAAGAAACCGGCTTCAGAGGCTACCCAGCTTCCTGACCAATCAAGAAGAGGGGCGGCGAGTCATGATGTCAACCCGCTTCCTGATTGGCTAGGAAGCCAGCTTCACTTTTTTTCTAGGTAGCGTGGCTTCCTGACCAATCAGGAGGCCAGGACATGAGTCATGACGTACCACTGGGCTTCCTGATTGATTAGGAAGCCAGGCTGCCTACCAGCAAGTGAAGCTGGCTTCCTTGCCAATCAGGAAGTCAGGAGGCACGTCACGACCTACCTCACAGCATCCTGATTGGCTAGGAAGTTGGCTTCACTTTTTTTCTAGGCAGCGTGGCTTCCTGACCGAGCAGGAGGCCGGAACGCGAGTCATAACGTACTGCTTGGCTTCCTGATCGGTTAGGAAGCCAGGCCAACCAGGAAGCCAGGAGGCAGGTCATAACCCACCACCCGGCTTCCTGATTGGAAAGGAAGTCGGCTGTATGATCCCTTGGCACTGCCGGTCAAAGGGAAATCTCCCTCTGACAGGAAGTTTCGGTATTGGGGAAGGTATCGGAACATTTGGACGAGTACAAGTACCCACCCAAATACCCAGTATCTGCACCGACATTAATATCGGTACATCTATAGTGCAAATCCATTTTATTGATAGTTGTCATTCAAACTGCAAGCCCATTTCTGAGCCTGATGAAGGGGACCCTGCGCGGCCCCAAAAGCGCTTGTCGATTGAGCGGCAACTATCAATAAAATGGATTTTGTACTAACATGCAATCTGGACGCCTGTTTTGGATGATATGTACAATAGCACATAAAAGACGCCACCACAAAACATGTCACTGGTTAACTGTGGCATTTTTTAATGGGGGCATGTTTTATGTTAAATACTAAGGCCTTGTTCACATGAAAGTGCGTGCGTTCCAGAGCGGTAGCTGCTGGAATGCACCGCGATCGCTGTGAAACTTCCCCCCGCATTTAGGGGCAGGAGGGGGCGTGTCGGTGCATTGTATTCAATAGCACCACTTCCACTCCCGCAGTGCGATCGAACGCTTGGCAAAACTTTTCCAGCGTTCCGTTCCACTGCAAACACAAAAAATAGGGCTTGCCCTATTTTTGCGTTTGCAGTTAAACGGAACTCTGGCAAAGTTTTGCCACACGTTCGATCGCACTGCGGGCTTGTACCTGGGCACAGGATTCCAAACCCGGACTGTCTGGGTCATTCCCGTACGGGTGGCAACCCTACTATGCTGATGACACTCAAATACACCGACCAGCTGTAACATTATGACCACTGACAGGTGCAGTGAATAACATTGATTTTCATGTTAAAAAAATGCAAATACCACCATTTTATTTTCTATTGTGTTTGCTTTTAGAAAAAAATATACATTTTTTTGGGGGGTAAGCAATTTTCAGGCCTAAAATGCAAAAATGGCTCTGACAGTGACAGGGTTTACAGGTCACTTATAGTGTCCACTGGACACCTGGGAGACAGGATGAAAACACAGGAGCACAGCTGTTAAACAGGGAGCATTGTCCTTAACAATATAAAAAAAAATAGTAAAGGTTTGAGGGAATATTTATTTAGTGTATTGTCTATGACCTCTTGTTTCAGGTACGTCAAAAGTGAGCGCCATACCATACAGGTGGATTATGTACCGTACATGGATGAAATTGCCGCTGAGATAGGCTGCATACCCAATATTAAGCAGCTTTTCCTGTCAGATCCCAAACTGGCCTGGCAGGTATTATTTGGCCCATGTACACCTTACCAGTATCGCCTGTGTGGACCAGGGCAATGGAGGGATGCCAGGAAAGCCATTCTAACTCAGAAGGACCGCATCATAAAGCCAACAAAGACCCGCAATGTGGATAATGAAATGACCCATGGTTCATTTAATATGCTTTTTAAGCTTCTGGGCATCTTTATGATCTTTGCTGCCATGTATGTCTTAGTGTAATTAGGTCAAGCAATGCTTTGATTTAAAAAGTCTGTTGCTACAGGCTTCAGTCTCTTGAGAACGACATATTTGTTTGACAAAATATCCTTTAATTTAGATAACTGTATGAATCCTACTGAAATATAAAGTTTATTCTGCTTATCTTTTGCCCTCCCTGGTTCCCCCTTTCACCCCTCATCAACATAATGAAATTTTTCCAAAATGTTGAAACACAGCTGTGTCTTTTTTTCTTTATTCTGACACGCGATGTCAGAATAGAAAAAAAAAATTTAGGCCGGGAGCGGGAGGCTACCAGAGCGCCCGGGAGAGCCTGAAGTGAATAGCCGAACAGTGTTCGGCTCACTTCACTTCAGATCGGTCATTCACTCGGCTGCCCTCGGCAGCTTCGTGAATAGACCCCTATGTACTCTACTCAAGAGCCCTTAGCCTGGGTGCAAGCAGTGGGTTGGCTCCTGGGAGGAGTTATGCAAATATCAAAATGCTTTGATGGATGAATGTCAGTCTGGAGGAGTGGGCCTTCATAGGCAGGCTGCATTTGCATGCAGACCACCCTAGGTAATGCCCACATGTGATTCTGAGCCTCCATGATTGACAGAACTGAAAATCAATGAATAAAAATGACAGGCTAGGGACAGTAAGGCTGGGGAGGTCCGCACTAGATGATGCTGGACACCCTCAAGCCAGGAAATTAGGTGAGCTTTATCTGACTTGCTGCAGCTTCTAATCACACTATGAGAAGCTTGCAGTATGCAGTGAAATCAGAATAAGCAATTTCAGTACAAGAGAGGAGCCTGTACAACAGGGCAAGATTAAAGTTAAGGATGAAGTTCAGCTTTAAAATTGATTAAAAAAATCCCATGCCTTCCAACTTTGATTGTGACAGTGAACAAATAAATCTGCGCTTCTGGAAAAATAAAATTTAGTAATAAGTTAAATTAATTAAATTAATAAAGTAAGAATAAATGTGAATAAATGTGAATAAATGTGAATAATTATACCCCAAGCTGCTCTGAAAAAGGTGGAACCTAGTATGATCAAAAGAAACAAAGCGCTAAAGGTAGCTGTATGAGCAAAAGAATATGCTATAATTGATTCTGGCGAGGTCAGTATGGAAGCTAATATATAAGTATAAAACAGGACTAGCTTCATAAACAAGTATAGATAAAACCAGTCTAACCAAAATACAAAAATCAATTAGAACCACTAAAATTCATTCCAATGCAATAAATAAACGAACAATGTTTAAAACGTCAAAATCAGTGTCCAATGCTTAAAAAATCCAAGTGAAAGGTGGTTTCCATGTGCAAATAAAAATGTGCAAAAATAGCAGTGTACTTGAGATTAATCCAAACTGTCCCTCTCGGGTAACAGGTGAACGGTAAGTTCCGTGTGCAAATGTACACATGTGCAAAAACAGCAATGTGCTTCGGATTGTTCCGGACTGTCCCTCTCGGGTGGGTACTCACCAGAGTGAAGTTGGTAGAAAACTTTTAGTGAGTGGTGCCGGGATTAGGTTTTAGCACAGACGTATTCCCCGCGGGTCTCAGCAGCTGAAGCAGTTGATTTTCTCCTCTAAGCCGTTTGGCTATGTCTCCCAGATGAGGAGTCCGTTTTTTTTGGAATAAAAATATACTTTAGCAGAGACCGACCAGGGTCTGAATGAGCTGTTCCTCTAATTCAAACCAGGTAGGGGAAGCACCTGATGCCGAACACCTCCCAGTGATTTCCTCCTCTCAGGTACAGACTCCTACTGCCAGCCTCAGGGGTTGAAAGCAGTCCTTGATTGTAACAGGACTGGGCTAATCAAAGAAGCATGCTTCCAAGCATTACCTCTTATGTGCAATTTGCTACTGCAAAAGAGTTTGTATTACTTCATTTTGTTCACTGTAATAAAGAGAAACATTAACAAAAAAGGAAAACCTAGTTTCCAGCAGATATATTGGCTTCGGACCGACTGTAAAATTTTCATCAAAACCTCCATGCAAAACATACAGCTGTTCCTGCGGAGTAGAGTTTTACGTTTATAATTAGCGTTTTGGTTTTATGTAGTGAATTCCATCTCTGAGGCTGTCACTTTGGTGCAGTTTTTAGCGTAGGACTTTGGGTTGATAATAGCGCACATTAAAATTATGTTTCTGTTGTGATTCTATTTTTTAGCTAGAGTTACCATGATAATTTATAGGTTAGGTTCAAGTTAAGGGTTTAAGAGGCTGTTTTTTCATTATGTCGGGACACTCTCTCTATTTATCCTGCTGACCAGGGCCGTCCCTACCTTTTTCATTGTCTGAGGCAGCCTGGAGAAGGGGCCGAGCTGTCAGCAGAGACGGGAGACTACAGGTGGCTAAGCAGGAGGCAGTGGGTGGCCGAGCTGTCAGCTGGCCGACTGGGAGGTGGCAGAGCTGTCAACCAGGGGGTTGCTGTTAGTCGCCCATGCTGCCGCCCCCCGCACCTACTGCCCCTCCAATGACATGCCTCCCAAGGCTACCGCCTTAGGCTGGCTCAATTTGGGGATGCCCCTGCTGGTGACCATTGTCATCAGAACTCAAAGTGAGGGAAAATCCAATATTCTGGGTTGTCACTGGAACAAGAATAGAGAGGAATCTTCCGATGGGGTAACTTGTTCTATGACAACTGTCTAAGGGATGATTTGCTTTCACTTTGCAGAAATCTCTCCTCACTTCCTATCTAAACGACATGAAATGAAGAGGAATCTCTCAAAAAGGGGTTTAAACTCTTACCTTCTTTGTCTATGGCATTGGATATACTTTGAAAACCAAAAAGACTAAAAACAAGGGATATACTGCACTTACAAACACTGTAGATCACATATAAAGCATCTCTATTGTAGAAAAAAACACAAAGCATACAAATTCTAGGTACCCGCACTCTCAACCAGAACCCCTAAATTGCAAATTGTAATTGGGCTTATTCATTGGACAGCTATCCCTATAATAACATACTTTACAGCTATTGTGATTAGATGTCTAATACTTAATAAAGGAAGACCTCATATTTAATTGGCCCTTCAACCATCCTTCAGGTATATATTTCTCTTGGAGATATTGAGTCTGCACAATGCAAACAGTTGTGCTGCCACATATTAGACACTTTTTGCTTTTGCTAAAGCATATTCCATGATTATGTGCACAATCCCACAATAACCACATTATACCCTCCAGTTGATTAGCTTCCGGCGGATCATCTGCCTGTGCTTGAATCTTAAATGCATCTAAAGTGTCCTGTGCAGCTTCCACATCTAGATATGCAATTCAATGCAACTCAATGTCTGTGCACTTAACCATCCCACAGTCAAAGCTAAGACGATATACACATCTATGCATGCTGTGTGCTGTTGGCAAAAAATGCCATTGCCATATAAACATAAACACGCTATGACAGTTGTACTTATCTGTTCTTTTGGTGGTCTTACGCTATGTTGCTATCTCTGAGTGTCAACCATGGTGCAAGAATGGCAGGACTTAATCTCCACATTCTAAGACTTAAGGGCTGCTGCTTCATTCTTCCATCATGCTCCACATGGTAGGAAGATGCCAAACAGCTGTGTTGCATCTGAAAAAAGAAAATAGCACTGCGCTTCAAACTCATAAATTATATTCCTAAAATGTGAAAAAAATAGTATGAAATGTGAAATTGTCACACAGTGATAAACAATTTTGTGTCATACACAACACCTGTGTTGCACAATGCCTGTGCAGATGGTAAGAAAAAGCTCTAGGTCTAATGGTCTAGGCACTATAAACCATAATAAACATGGGGGAAAAAAAAAAGTGCTAGTACATCTCATAAAATGAGTACATATAGAAAATCTTGTGTTAAATCTCACAAGTGATGTACAACTCCCTCTTAATCTACATAACCACATGTGAAGTCCATTACTTCTGGATACAATAAAGTCCTTGAAATATGTGAGGATATATCTTCCAACTTTTATAATCAACACCACGTCCGTGAATGCAAAAACAATTAGTGAATCAGTGGTCTCTAGTCTCCACCGTGCTCAAAGATAAGATCTGGCCGCACTCACCGACTCCTATTGCTCACCATATTTCAGATGAACAATTAGCGCTTTGTTGATATATATAGAACCAAATCCTCTCGTCTTTAATCCGACAATAAATTGGGGTAGATTCCTCCCAACTCTGGCTTATCTTTCCCAAATCGTGTAACACTATTCCTCCATCTTCCACCTTCTCTTGTGCTCAGAGAGAGAAAAAAAAAGGCTTCCCATAGTGTAGTATGTCAGAATAAATTTATTTAAAACGATTAAAATACACTTACAATTAAAATAAGGCAATTGCACATGGATTGTGTCCACTGGAGATCCTGTCTCTATGATTGCAATGCTCGCATAGATCCGCCCACCTGTGTTGCATCAACATATTTCGCTTACAGGAGGCTTCGTCAGGATCCTTCGTCAGGATGCTTTAGCATCTGCAAGAAGTGTCTAATATGTGGTAGCACAACTGTTTGCACTGTACAAGTTATATAATTAAAGTGTGCTGGATGGTCCAGTTATATGTAGATTATTATTTATGGAGTAGTGGACATTTAATCACACAACTTAGAGGAAATCTCTTCTTAGACAGCTGTCCCCAGGACAGGTGCAACCATTTGACGATTTCTCTTTACCTTTTGTTCTAGGGACATCTCTAAAATGTAGAAATGTTGTCTCACTTCTTGGTGACAATGGTTACCAGTACAAATAGTGGGGTGAATTTCCTAAACTAGATAGAGGGCCTTTCCCTTCAACACTATCGAAAACAAACAAAAAAAAGTTTTTCCTAAAGAAACACTTCATTGGAGGTTTTTAAATTTGTCCAGTGTTCCTCTTTTACTATGTCCTCCAAGGGACAGCATGGCTTTGTTGTGTATACTGCTGTACAACAATTATACAGGAAAAGCAACTAGAGTGGTTCAGTAATTTTTTTATTCTGTGAATCCAGCAAATCACGGTTACTTGTTGCCTTTAATGTCTAGTTTTTCTTGCTGATAGTCAGAATATACAGGAGTATAACTAATGATGATTCATTCTAATATTGCACTGTTTGATTATTCCTTTGTTATATAAGATATAAATAAAACTGTATATATAACA